ATAATTTTAAATTATTATATTAATATTAGAAAATTCATATTCAACCGGCAATTTTTATAAACTAACGCATCATTTTAAACTCATTAAATTATTTTTTAAAACAAGTACATACAAAATTTGGTCCGTAGCTATTTCTTTATATAACTTGAAGTATTTGAATTCCATTTGGATCATGTACATACCTGAAAATAAAGATAAAAAATGTTTAATATTAATTGCTAAAAAAATTTATTATTTTATTATTTATAATAAAAATAGTTCTCTGCTAAGTCAATTTACGAAAATAATATTATTCAGAATAATTTCTTAATTTAGTCAATTAACTAAATGAAGCTAACTAAATTGAGTCAATTTAATTCAGATACACACTAATGTTCGAATCTCACTGAAAAAATTAGATTTGTTCCAGATATACATTTAATAGACTCAATTATTAAATTCAATTTGTTCAACGACATTCGAACGCACACTTACTTTAGTCAATTAACAAGATAATTACTTTCATATAGTCATTTAATTTAGTCAATGACATTCCAATGTCCACTTAATGTAGTCAATTAGACAAAAATAATAATTTACTTACTGCCATTAATTTGATTTAGTCAATTAGCAAATTTAATTATAGTCAATGACATCCCGATAGTCAATGACATTTCCTCAATTAAAAACTAAATTGAGCCAATTACATACAAGAAATTTTTGAGTATACAAGCCAGATTATAAATAGTCAATGTTATTTATAGGGTCAGATTATTTCGTAACAGGGAAGAATCAGCGAAAGGTGGACTTTGCAGACTTACGAAATGTAGGGACCTTCTGCGTTTAACGCTTGGCCATAAAGACGTTGCGACTGGTCGCTGGTAATCGACTAACGCTTGCTTAAGTATTTGCTTTCAGGCCAAACAGTCCAGTAGTGAGTAATAGAAGTTCTTACTTCCTCCCATTCCGCAGTTATTGAGACTGAAATGCTTATCTCGGCAAGATGCGAATGTTGGAAAATTCTTGGGGTGAATCAGTTTTATCAAAAACACAAGACTTCGGGTAGTACAAAGCCTTCAAAGTCGGTTAAGAGATCGTTAAAGACATACCTCGTTCTGATCGACTTTCGACCTCTTTAACTTATCAAAATATTAAAAAAGTAAAGGATATAGTGCTTGAAAATCGTCTTTCGCGAATCCGTTCGAATATTTTTGATTATTTTTAGATATTTTGCATATGAAACGCTTTCTTGCTCGACTCATCCCGATAAAGCTTAATAGTTTTCAAAACGAGTACGATTGCGAATTTGAAGCCAAAAACGCAATGAATACTATTAATCAAGCACCCTATTTAACAGGTTTAGCTACGTGTGATTTTTTCTTAATACTCAAACTGAAATTGCTGCTCCGTGGAACCCGTTTTCAGTCGATCGATGAGATAACACTAAATTCGCTGAAGAATATGAAAGCCAGTCCCAAAAATGCTTATGAAAAGTGTTTCGAAGACTGAAAAAATTGTTGACATAAGTGTATTACATCTGATGGTGATTACTTTGAAAGCGACAAAAAAAAATTATAGATGGATAATTAAATATTTATATAAAGTTTAATAGCACATGTTTCACTTACATACATTTCATCTACCGATTTTTACTTAACATTTGCCGTAAAGCACATTTACAGAGATATTGAGTTCATTTACTTATTGCAAAGATATGTATGTACTATGTTTAGTTACAGTCTCTCGCTCTTCCCTTCCTTTAGTCTCGCTTGCCCTCTTTCAATAATGACTATCAACATTTTCTGAATATGTATTTGTATTTTCCCAATATTCAGCATTCCTATCTTGCCCTCAGCGATCATTATCTTTCACCCTTTCCCTGTCCAACAATTTATAACACACAAATAATCAATAATTATTTCTCTAGAACAACAACAAATTAAAGCAAAAAAAAAAATAATAGATAGATAGAGAGATATTTGAAGGGCAAAAGGCGACCAAAACGTCACTGCAGGCATCCAGACGCCTTTGTATTTGAGCCGATTCGAAATGAAATTTATTTCATTTTCTAATTGCAGCAAAACAAACAGAATATACATATGTATATACATAATAGAATATAAATATATATTATGAAGCGACAACAACAAAGTAAGCTAAGCATGAGCTAATGCAACTCTAAGAACTTAGAATTATTCGAAAAAAATATCGAAAGATTGAAGTGTGCTACTGGCTGCCATAGAACTACTTGCGTCGACGTCGATAAAGACGAGACGCTTTGCTATCCAACACTTCGACACTTCGACGGATATGAACGCACAGCGCCGTATTTCGTAAAAGTACGGAAAGGAATGCGCGCATGGAGCGCTTTGGTGGCAATACAAATTAATCGAAATTAGATTAAATGGAATTTGTGATGTGGTGATTTCATGGAATGTGCTGAATAATGGCGTAATAGATAAAAATGCTGGAGCTCTTGCTGATGGTGGTGATAATTGTGGTCATTGCTATTTAAAAGAGTCGGCATAGGTACATTTATAGACACATGAGCAGCGCGATATCGCACATTTGCACTTGAGCAGTGCTTTKTGGCGCTATAAATTCACGAAGATTTGACGTTGCTAAATTTGTTGCACACTCTTCACTGTCGATTAATTAAAGCAAAAATCGTCAGATAAACATTTTGAGCAATTATCTGCATTTTTCACTTTACTCGTTGCTTCACTTGCTGTCATTTTGAATTTATGGCTGCGTTAGCCTTGAACTGTTTTCGATTTTATTCTTTTTTTGTTTGCATCTTAGCAGTCATCATCACAACCCTTTCGTGGATTCGCCAATTTGGTGAAAACATAATAAAATTGGCTATAAAAACGGTGAGTAAATGTGGTGAACATATGTATATGTATATAAACGAGCATGGTAAATTATATTGTTATTTTACGATTTTTTTGGTGTTTTTTTTTTTAATTTTTTGGTTTTTAGATTTGTTAATTGTTTGAACGATTTGCTAAAATTTTTTGTTCGTTAATACATCTAGTTCAATTAATTATAATAAATTATAAATTTCCATTCAAAGAGCTGGTGAGTAGGATTTCGTTAGACGATGGTGAGAATGTATTTTTGAAATTGAATTTTTTTTTTAATATTATTAATTTTTTAACCAGATTTTTATTTTGTCATTTTAT